CCACCCTGCAGGATGGGGTCCCCTCCCTGCCCCAGGGTGGGCACCCCCCGGGGACCCGCTGTCTGTCCCATGTGGTGGCACGAGGCTGCCGGCCGGCTCTGCCCTGGCCTGGTGTCCCCTAGGCCTGGCATGGCCGGGTGTCCTGCTCCCCATGGGGACGGGGACTCAGGGACCCCGCTGCTGCAGCCGGGATGGCTGGGGGTCCCCGTGGCCCCATAGGGATCAGGTTCTGGGGGTCCCCATGGCCCCATAGGGTCGGGACTCTGGGGGTCCCTGTAGCCCCATAGAGTCTGGGCTCTGGGGTCCCCACAGCCCCATAGGGACAGGGCTCTGGGGGTCCCCATGGCCCCATAGGGACAGGGCTCTGGGGTTCCCCATAGGGATCGGGCTCTGGGGGTCCCCATAGGGATTGGGCTCTGGGGGTCCCCACAAGGACAGGGCTCTGGGGGTCCCCATAGGGATCAGACTCTGGGGGTTCCCATGGCCCCATAGGGATCAGGCTGTGGGGGTCCCCACAGGGACAGGTCTCTGGGGGTCCTCATAGGGATCGGGCTCTGGGGGTTCCCATAGGGATCAGGCTCTTGGGGTCCCCACAAGAACAGGGCTCTGGGGGTTCCCATAGGGATCGGGCTCTGGGGGTCCCCACAGGGACAGGCCTCTGGGAGTCCCTGCAGCCCCATATGGCCCAGACCTCGCTCTCCTGCTCCCAGCTCCTGCCCTGTGTCACTGTGGCCACAGTGATGGGATGGGGCCATGGCCGAATCATGCTCCACCCACACCCAGCATCACCCCTTCCCCCTGAGTTGTCGTCCTCCCCCTTGGGTGACGCTGCCTCCAGAAGGACCCCCGGGGGCCAGGGGCCGGCTGTGGGTGACACCAGGTCCTGGCCAGGCATTTTGGGGTGCAGGGGAGGGGGAGAGTATCTGCAGGGTTCCCGACCCCTCCTCAGTCCTCCCCATCACCGTAGACCCTGCTGTGCCGAGATGGCGCCGGATGCCTGAGCCACCCGCCCGGTGGGGACCAGCCATGGAGACGGTCGTCATTGTGGCCATCGGGGTGCTGGCCACCATCTTCCTGGCATCCTTCGTGGCACTGGTGGTGGTCTGCCGGCAGCGGTACTGCCACCCCAAAGACCTCCGGCACCACTACGACACCAAGTGAGTGATCCCGCAGTGGTGGCACCATCCCCGTCCCCACTGGGTGAGGGTGGTCAGGGAGGGACCCCAAACCCCATGGGCTGGGGACAATGCTGGGGTCATGTCCACCATCATCAGGGGGATGATGCTGGGGACACATCCAACATCATCAGGGCATTGGCGGGGGGAGCCCGAGGAGGTGGCCTTGTCCCCAGGGATGTCCCCCATGTCCCCAACAGACCCATCGTGGACCTGATGGGGACCACTGAGACACCATCGGAGCCCTCGGAGCTGGAGCTGGACGATGTGGTCATCACCAACCCCCACATTGAGGCCATCCTGGAGAACGAGGACTGGGTCGAGGACGCCTCGTAAGTGTGTGTGTGTCCCCGGTGTGCCCTGTGTGTCCCCCCCACCATCGCTAGGGACCCCCATGCAGTGCCAGCCCCCCCAACATGGGCAGGTGGTCGAGATTTGGGTGTCACCAAGCCATGGCCAGTCCCAAGATGGGATGGGCCTCAAACTGGGCTCAGGGTGGGAATGTCCCCAAGGGTCTGGGGGACACAGGGGTGTGCAGGCAGATGCGGGGTGTGAGGGTGGGGAGGGTCTGCCCTGATTGACACCCTCCTCCCTCTCCGCAGGGGTCTGGTGTCCCACTGCATCGCCATCCTGAAGGTGAGGCGGGGGGGTGGGACCGGTGACACTGGTGGCACTGGTGGCACCGAGCGCCCACCCTGGCCCCACTCCCGTTGTCCCCCCCCTCGCAGATCTGCCACACGCTGACGGAGAAGCTGGTGGCCATGACGATGGGCTCGGGTGCCCGGGTGAAGTCCCCCGCCAGCCTGGGTGACATCATCGTGGTGGCCAAACGCATCAGCCCCAGGTGATGATGGTGGGGAAGGAGGTCCCCAGGGCTTGATGGGGGGGGTGGGTGATGGAGGATGTCCCCGCGGTGTCCCCTGGGGCTAACGCCATCCCCGCTGGCAGGGTGGACGACGTGGTGAGATCCATGTACCCTCCGCTGGACCCCAAACTGCTGGATGCAAGGTGACCGGCGGGACGGGGACACTCCCTGGGTGGGAGGGACACCCATGGAGGGGACAGGGGACACCAGTGCCACCCCATGCCATGTAGCTGGGGACAACCACTGCGGGCTGACCCAGCAGGATGGGACAGGGTGGGGAGGGGAGCAGGGGGAACTCCATGCCCCGCGCTGCAGATGGGGAAATTG